TATGTTTTCTAATTACAGAAACCTCAACAGTATGAGCTGCTGAGTGAATCACAGTTATCACGTAGTGTAGAAAGAAAACTCTGAGATTTGCACTAAAATGGAAAGTTTTCTTTACTTACTGGAAGACCAAGGAGTCCTCTGTTACCCTTTTGACCTGGTTCACCCTTCAATCCTTGAACACCATTTAACCCTGGTTCACCCTAAATGTAAAAGCAAATGCCAATTTTGGTTGCTATTATGGGTGTTTAAACTGTGAGAGGAGAGAGCCAGTCCCTGAAATAGTTGCAGATTCCAGCTTTAAGAAACAGCAGAGTCAGGCTAGATTTGTTTTGCACCAAACATTAATTTTAAACATTAAAATAGTTACTAAACTGACAACAATTAACATTATAGAAATCAAAACTCCCAAGAAAGAGTCCTCCTTACAATGAAAATATGTATGATTGAATTCCTAAATTTTTCAGTTCTATCTCAAGGAAATTCATGTTATACCACATTTTTATGATCAAATAAAGGCAATTGAGTAGAGGTTGCTGAAGAAGATTCCACACACAAAAAAACCCAAAAACCAAAACAAAAAACCCACTCTGCTGGAATGGAAAACTGGAATATGCAGGACAGGGTTATAGACAGATATTTTAAGCGTTTAAGCATTTGTCCAAGGGAATGAGCTAAAAGCGTGGCAGCTGCTGTTTGAAGTAATGCCATTTAGCAAGTCCTCATTCACTGCCCCGGCCAAGTCAGATCCCTACATGGACTAATCACCAAATCACCAATCCCAGCAGAAAATATGAAGATCACAGAACTTAAATGTATTTTTAACTGTCCATCTGCCCAATGTTAGACAAAGCATGAATTTAACTCAGGGTGACATTACAAAAGACACAAGAAATGATAAAATTCTTGACTCTATTTTTAAAAATCAAGGAATACGGCACACCTATTTTTCATCAGTTGTCTTAAAGTGACTAAGATAGTAGAGCTGATCATTACTGCAGCATAACCTAGCCTATCCCTACTGATAAAGAAGCCCTGGAGAAAGCAGAGACTCAGCTCTTAAGAGTAACAGCCATGGCAAAGGACTTGAACAGACAATTCTCCAAAGATTACAAATGGCCAATAAATGCATGAAAAGATGCTCACGAAGAAAAAGCAAATTAAAATGATAACGAGATGCCACTTCTAATATTAATTAGGATGACTATTTTTTTAAAAAAGTGTTGGTGGGAAAATAGCAAGTGTTGGTGGAAAAATCAGAACCTTGTGCATTGCTGGTGAAAATACACTGTTGGTACAACCACTATGGAAAACAGTTTGGCAGTTTCTCAAAAATCTAAACATAGAATTACCACATAATCCAGCAATTCTACTTCTGGGGATATAAAAGTAGGAATTAAAAGCAGAGTGCTGAGCATAGAGACTCACGCCCGTAATCCCAGCTACTGGGGAGGCTGAGGCAGAAGAATTGCTTCAACTCAGGAGACAGAGGTTGCAGTGAGCCGAGATTGCACCACTGTACTCCAGCCTGAGTGACAGAGTGAGACTCTAAAAAAAAAAAAAAAAAAAAAAAAAAGGAATAAAATTCTGTCACATGCTACAACATGGATGGATGTACCTTAAGGACATTATGCTAAGTAAAATAAGTATAAAATAAGCCAGCCGTAAAAGGACAAATATTGTATGATTCCACTTACACGAGGTACCTAGAGTAGTCAAATTCATGGAGGCAGGAAGCAGGACGGAGGTGGTCAGGGGCTACGTAGAAGAGAGCACAGGAAATTATTGTTCAAGGGGCACAGAATTTTTGTTTGAGAAGCTGAAAATGCTCTGATGTTGGGATGGTGGTGATGGTGTGGGATTGTGAATGGACTTCATGTACTACCAAATTATACCCAAAAATGGTTAAAATGCTCAATTTTATGTTATGTGTATTTTTGCCATGATTTTTTTTTAAAAAAAGAGTAAGGTGGCCGTATGCGGTGGCTCATGCCTGTAATCCCAGCACTTTGGGAGATCAAGGCAGGCAGATCATCCCAGGTTAGGAGTTCGAGACCAGCCTGACCGACATGGAGAAACACCATCTCCACTAAAAATACAAAATTAGCTGGGTGTGGTGGCACATGCCTGTAATCCCAGCTACTCGAGAGGCTGAGGCAGGAGAATCACTTGAGCCCAAAAAGTGGAGATGGTGGAGGACTGAGATCATTGCACTTCAGCCTGGGCAAGAAGAGCAAAACTCTCTGTGGCTCATGCCTGTAATCCCAGCTCTTAGGGAGGCAGAGGCAGGAGGATAGCTTGAGCCCAGGAGTTTGAGACCTGCCTGGGCAATATAGTGAGACCCCGTTCTCCACAAAAAGGAAAGAAACAAACAAACAAAAAAGACAAAAAATCAAATAAAAATTAAAAAAATAAAAAATAAACAAAGAGTAACAACGTCTGCATCTCTCTCTGCATACTACCATGGCATTTTCACAAATGCCGAAAGGGCCACAGGAATTCTTCAACATTGGGACTGTATCGAGCTGAAAGAAGCAACCTAAGCCCACAGAAGTGGAAGTGGCATCCTCTATTGTGATGAACTAAGCAGGGAGCAGAGGCGGACACTTTAGAAGCGGCGACAAAGGTCAGAGGAGCCCGCTTTCAGACTGGAGATTTTGAAGGAAACCCGCAAACTCAAAGAGACAGAAGGACCCTCAGAAGCCACTTAGCAGCCTTCTAGTGTTATGGCCACCAAAACACAATGTAGAGAGGGGAAAGGACTTTGCTCAGAGTCCTGTGGCGACTCAGTACCCGAGCTGGGACTGGCTTCCAGGCCACCAGAAACACAGTTCTATAGGTGTGTACTCCTTGACTTCTGAACACTAACTATAAACAATAAGAGAGTTCTCCTATTTAAACAATTTCTTTCAAATTGTTCCCGAAACATTCCTTGCCAGTTGAAGACACAACAGAGGAACAAGTCAGAAGACTGTGTCAACAGAAAATCTGGCCGGGCGCGGGGTGGTTCATGCCTGTAATCCCAATCCCAGCACTTTGGGAGGCTGAGCTGGGTGGATCACTTGAGATCAGGAACTCAAGACCAGCCTGGCCAACATGGTGAAACCCCATCTCTACTAAAAATACAAAAATCATCCGGGCATGGTGGCATACGTGCCTGTAATCCCAGCTACCGAGCAGCAGGCAGAATCACTTGACCCCAGGAGGCAGAGGTTGCAGTGAGCAGAGACTATGCCATTGTACTCCAGTCTGGATGACACAGTGAGACTCTGTCTCCAAAAAAAAAAAAAAAAAAACAGGCGAGGTGGCCCATGCCTGTAATCCCAGCACTTTGAGAGGCCGAGGTGGGCGGATCATCTGTGGACAGAAGTTCAAGACCAACCTGGCCAACGTGGTGAAACCCCCATCTCTACCAAAAAAAAAAAAATACAAAATTTAGCCAGGCGTGACAGCGCACGCCTGTAATTGCAGCTACTCAGGAGGCTGAGGCAGGAAAATCTCTTGAACCCGGGAGGTGGAGGTTGCAGTTAGCCTAGATTGCACCATTGCACTCCAGCCTGGGGGACAAGAGCGAGATTTTGTTTCAAAAAAGAAAGAAAGAAAATCTGAGGAGCAGCCTGTCCAGTGGACAACCTGTTTTTTTTGTTTTGTTTTGTTTTTTTGTTTGTTTGTTTGCATATGGTGGTACATTCATGCATGTGATTGAAGGTGCATATACACCGTACAGTTGTTACAGGTACGAGAAGGTTCTTTGTTCTACAGGTGGAATTAAATGAATGGTCAAAGCTGGTCTGATGGTAGTGTATTATTGGAACTCATTAACATTTGTGTTACCAAATTTGGTTTACAATACCCAGTGATAAAGTTAACTGGCCTATAAAAAATAAAAATTAGGCCGGGCGCGACAGTTCACGCCTGTAATCCCAGCAATTTAGGAGGCTAAGGTGGGTGGATTACCTGAGATCAGGAGATCCAGACCGGCCTGGCCAACATGGTAAAACCTTGTCTCTACTAAAAATACAACAATTAGCCAGGCATGGTGGCACTGGCCTGTAATCCCAGCTACTGGGGAGGCTGAGGCAGGAAAATCGCTTGAACTCAGGAAGTGGAGGTTGCAGTGAGCTAAGATGGAGCCACTGCACTCCTACCTGGGCAACAAGAGTGAGACTCCAACTTGAAAAAAAAGATTTATTCTTTTCAAAGAAACAAGACCCTGAGTCCATTTCCCAGCCCACACCTGATGTCGACTCACAATACACAGCCTGGTCTGCTACGAGCCTATGAAAGCACTGCTTCATTTAATTGTCACCTTAACTTCACACCACACTCAAGTCCCGGAAGAACTCTGTGCTGACCTCTGTGTGCTGAACCATCCCCATGTCGCTCGGCGTGCCGTCCCTCTCACTGCACTGTCAGTAGCCGGACGTGGTTTGACTGCAGGGAGGGCCCTCCTTGGTGTCTTAGGCTGCCTCGGGCAAAACAGTGTGCTCTGAGACTTTGCTGCAGGTAGGCTTTGCCCCAGTAAACTCTACCTCATATTCACATTACGTGGTGCTGGGTGCGTGTGGGTTCGCACTCCCTACTCATGACAGTCCCCTCAACCTCTTCCCCAGGATTTCCTCCCCTATCTCCTCAAGTCCCACTGGTCTGCAAAGACCAAAAGCTGCAGAGTCTTAGGTCCCTTCCTTCAAACCCCATGACAAAGCCTCCTCTCCCAGAACCCTTAAGCCAGAGTCTGTCACTGCAGACCCTAGAACAGCCACACCGCTCTCTCCACCCACTCCAGACTCACACCCAGGTGATCACAGCCCCCAGAGTAACTATGGAGATGGAGTCCCTGGAACATGCAGATGGTGCCCCTGGGATTATGCAAAAGCAACATTCTGGCACCTGCAGAGAACAGGGTGACATCCCGGAGCCAGAGCACAGGCCTGTGGGAGGTAGGGATGTGGCCAGGCAGACTGCCAAAAGTTGGTAGAGCAAGGCCACAGGATCTTTCTGACCTTGGCGATCCCTGGGCTGATGGACCACTCCCTTCCTGGAGGACATGGTTTCCGTCCCAGTTGCCTGGATTTCTGTGCGTGTCCTGCTGAGGTCTTTTCCATGAGAAGCACGCTGTCCTTCCACCTGTTGGGGGCAAGAGTGACCATTGCAATATTATAATAGCAGTGGCATATTAGCAGAGAAGAAGAGAGATGAAGTGGCAAGAAAACAGGCTTCCAAGCGGAGTTTTTCTACTTAAAAAAAAGTTTACAAGTGAACTTTTATAAAGGGCCAGATAGTAAACATTTTAGGCTTTGAGAGCCACATAGACTCGTTTGCAGGTACTCAATGTCGCTATTGTAGTTTGAAGGCGGCCATCAGGGTTATGTAAATGAGTGAGTCTGATTTTGTTTCAGCAAAACTTTCCTTACCAAAACAGACAATGAGTGGGCTGGGTTTGGCCCATAATCTTTGGTTTGCCAGCTCCTGCTTTGGGCTCACCCAGATCTGATTTTGAATCCTGGCTCTACTACTGATTAGCTGTAGGAGCTTGGAAGGTTCTCTGAGCCCGTTTCCTCATCTGCAGCCTCGACCTCCTGGGTTCAAGTGATTCTCCCGCTTCAGCCTGTTGAGTAGCTGGGATTGCAGGCGGTGCCACCACACTTGTCTAATTTTTATATTTTTAGTAAAGATGGGGTTTCACCATGTTGGCCAGTCTGGTCTCGAACTCCTGGCCCCAGGTGATCTGCCAGCTTCGGCCTCCCCAAAGTGCTGGTATTACAGGTGTGAGCCACCGCGCCCAGCCCTCTAGCTCGTTTTCAAAATAAACACTGCAATGGCAAAGGGTTTTGTGTCATGTCCTATCAAGTCCTGACCAAGAAACCCATTTAAAAGAAACCCATAGTTGACATTCATTAAATGTTTATTGTGTAACAGGCTCCGAACTTACCGTTCACATTCAGTATCTCGTTTAACCCTCACCCCAAACCCAAGAGGTAAGTGCCTTATACGCATTTTGTATGTGAGGCAACTGCGGCTGAGATCCAAAACTGAAGCCTGGTGAGCACTGCAGCCTGCGTTCCAGCAGAGCCACCCAACTCCAGGGCTGACCCTGCTCCAGAATAAGCGGAGAGGACGTCCAGCATTGTGCTGGGCATCAAGGATGACTTGGTTCGGCCTGTCTGACGCTCCACTCTGGATTCCTCTACACTTTTTTCTCCCCCCCCCACCCACGCCACCAGCATCGATTTTTAAAAAATTTATTTTGAGAGCGGGCTATAAGACTGGCTAATTTTTGTATGTTTTGGTATAGACAGGGTGTTGACGGTTGGGGCGGGGCGGGGTGGGGGTCTTGCCATATTGCCCAGGCTGGTCTCGAACTCCTTGTCTCAAGAGATCCGCCCGCCTGGGCCTCCCGAGCAGCTAGGACTACAGGCCCAAAGTCTCTTTAGTAAGAGGGGAGGATCGGGCCTAGCTTTTGCAGCTCCGCCGGCCCTTCGGCCTCTGGGGCTGTCCGACTCCCAGCCCTTGGAGGGGACACAGGGCTTGGGGCCGCGCGGGCTTCCCCGGGCCTTGCTGGAAAAGCGAGTCCACCGCCGGCCCTGGCGAGGACTGAAGGCCCGGACAGGGCCACGGCCTGGGGAGGGCCCGGACCGCCGCGGTAGGCAAGGAGCTCGCCCGAAGCGCGGCACGCAGCCGTGGCCCCCAACGCCACCCGTCCCGGTCCTCACAGCCACAGCGGTTTTGTTTTCCCGGTCAGGGAGTTCCATCTTCCAGACGCCGCGGGAAGGTGACGGGGCTTGGCGGGACGCAAAAACGGCCTCTTCGGCTGGAGCGGGCCCCGGCGGAGCCGGAGCGTGCGGGGACCCGCAGTCAGCAAACGTCCAGACCCCCGTTCCCCTGGCTCCGGGCGCCGGTGCTTCCGGTCCCGGGGCGCCCCCTGCTGGCCAGGTGCGAAAAGCGCCTCCACTTTCCCATGTCTGTGGCCAGCATTTCACTGTCAAGTTAAATCTATCTTTGAATTTGTATTCTGATCTTTTAGTTATTAATTCCTGTGTAAAACAGGTTTTAACTGGGACTAGACTTTAGTGTGGTCTTCGGTGGTCTCAGGATCCCTGAAAACGTGTGGCATGTGCATTTCTTTCTTTCTTTTTTTAAATTTTGAGACGGGGGCTCGCTCTGTCGCCAGGCTGTAGTGCAGTGATGCTATCTCGGCTCACTGCAACCTCCGCCTCCTGGGTTCAGGCAATTCTCCTGCCTCAGCCTCCCGAGTAGCTGGGACTACAGGCACACGCCACCACGCCCAGCTAATTTTTTTTTTTTTTTTTTTGTATTTTTTTGGTAAAGACGGGGTTTCACCATGTTGGCCAGGATGGTCTCGATCTCTAGGCCTCGTGATCCGCCTGCTTCAGCCTCCCAAAGTGCTGGGATTACAGGCGCGAGCCGCCGCGCCTGGCCGGCATGTGCGTTTCTTAGAAAAAGTGTCCATTGTTTCATCAAATTTTTTTTTTTTTTTGAGACGGAGTTTCGCTCTTGTTACCCAGGCTGGAGTGCAATGGCGTGATCTCGGCTCACCGCAACCTCCGCCTCCTGGGTTCAGGCAATTCTCCTGCCTCAGCCTCCTGAGTAGCTGGGATTACGGGCACGCGCCACCATGCCCCGCTATTTTTTTTGTATTTTTAGTAGAGACGGGGTTTCACCATGTTGACCAGGATGGTCTCGATCTCTTGACCTCGTGATCCACCCGCCTTGGCCTCCCAAAGTGTTGGGATTACAGGCGTGAGCCACCAAGCCCGGCTAATTCTGTCTTTTTAGTAGAGACGGGGTTTTTCAATGTTGGTCAGGCTGGTCTTGAACTACCAACCTCAGGTGATCCGCCTGCCTCGCCTCCCAAAGTGCTGGGATTACAGGCGTCAACCACTGCGCCCGGCCTGTTTCATCACATCTTAAAATGAGTCCATGACCCACAGTTGTCATTGCTAGCATAAAACATCTAAACGGCTTTGTTAAAACTCCGACGAATTGGGCTTTATTCTGCTAAATGCAGCCTCCCGTTTGCTAAGTATCTGCTCACACAGTTCAGTACTACATATATCCTCTAGGTGGCAGCATAACCCTCAATAGAAAAACCCGTTCTGAGCCCCGCGCGGTGGCGGGCCAGGAATCCCAGCTCCATACAGCTGCTCCGAAGGATGGCTAGAGCCCAGGAGCTGGTGCAGCGCTCCAGGACTGCACCTGTGAACAGCCGCTGCACTCCAGCCTGGGCAACAGCGAGGCCCTCTCTCTAAAAAAAAACAAAAACAAAAAACCCGGTTAGGCGCGCTGGGTGGCTCATGCCTGTAATCCCAGCACTTTGGGAGGCCTCGGCGGGTGGATAGCTTAAGCCCAGGAGCTCGAAACCAGCCTGGACAGCATGTAGAGACCTCATGTCTACAAAGAATTAAACAATTAGCTGGGCGGGGTGGCATGCGCTTGTGGTTCCAGCTACTCTGCAGGCTGACGTCGGAGGGTATCCTGAGCCGGGAAGGGAGCGGGGGAGAGAGGAGGTAGGGGCGGGGGAGGGGAAGTTGCAATGAGCCGCAATCGCACAGCTGCACTCCAGTCTGGGCGACAGAACCAGACAGTCTCAAAAATAAGTAAATAAATAAATTAATTAATTAAAACAAAAAACTATTTTGGGAGCCTGACCTTTTGGTCTTTGAACTTCCTTGCCTCCCCTCCCCCCCTCCCCCCTCCCTCCCCCCCTCCCTCCCCCCCTTCCTTCCTTCCTTCCTTCCTTCTTCCTTCCTTTGACAGGGTCTCACTGTCACCCAGGGTAGAGTGAGAGGCATTATCACTGCAGCCTTGAACTCCCGAACTCAAGCGATCAGCCTGCCGAGTAGCTAGGTCTGTAGTTGTGTGTCAGCGCACCTGGCAATTAAAAACATTTCTGGGCCGCCTGCGGTGGCTCACGCTGGTAATCCCAGCACTTTGAGAGGCTGAGGTGGGCAGATCACGAGGTCAGGAGTTCAAGATCAGCCTGACCAACACAGTGAAACTCTTGTCTCTACTAAAAACACAAAAATTAGCCAGGCGTGGTGGTGTGCACCTGTAATCCCAGCTACTCGGGAGGCTGAGGCAGGAGAATTGCTTGAACTGGGGAGGCGGAGGTTGCAGTGTGCCAAGACTGCAACACTGCACTCCAGCATGGGCAACAGAGCAAGATTCTGTCTCAAAAAAAATTTTTTTTTTATAGAGACAGGGTCTCACTATGTTGCTCAGGCTGGTCTTGAGTTCCTGGGCTAAGGCATCCTCTCACTTCAGCCTCCCAAAGTGTTGGGATTACAGGTGTGAGCCACCACGCCTGGCCTGAATTTTCATATCACTTTTTTTTTTTTTTTGGAGACGGAGTCTCACTCTGTCGCCCAGGCTGGAGTACACTGGCATGATCTAGGCCCAGTGCAACTTCCGCCTCCTGGGTTAAAGCAATTCCCCTGTCTCAGCCTCCTGAGTAGCTGGGACTACAGGCGTGTGCCACCAAGCCCAGTTAATTTTTGTATTTTTTAGTAGAAATGGGGTTTCATCATATTGGACAGGCTGTTCTCCAACTCCTGATCTCGTGATCCACCCTTCTAGGCCTCCCAAAGTGCTGGGATTACAAGAGTGAGCCACCATGCCCAGCCTTTTTTTCTTTTTTAATGCCAAAGGATGGAACCCAGAACTGTGAACTTCCTTCAGCTCTGTCAGTGTTTTATCTCGACATGGGCTAAATGTATGAAGACGTTCTTCCAATCTTACTGCTGTGATTGTTGGTCCTACGTTTTGACTGCTTGATTGATTTCAGTGAGGACTCAGGGTGTAAATTCTAGCCTTCCTTGAAGGACTGGTGTCCTCTCAACTAAACTAGAAGCACACTATAACTTTACAATGTTTGTATGCTTAGTCTCTGGAGCAGAGTTCGTTGAAAAAATGAAGGAATGAATGGATTACAAGGACTTCACAAGGCTAGGCATTGCCTGGCTTGGAAAGAGGCTTTAAATCGCCATCATGCATGGAAGCGTCATTGTACCAGCCAAATTTCTTGGTTGCAAGCAACAGAAATAAACTCTGGCTCTCTTAAGCAAGAAAGGAGTTTATTGGAATGGCATGGCACTATAATCATGAGAGTTTGTCTTAGTTTGTTTTCTGTTGTTTACAACAGTATCTGAAACTGGGTAATTTATAAAGAAAGGCATTTATTTCTTACAGTTATGGAGGCTGAGAAGTCCACGGTTGAGGAGCTGTGTCTGCTGAGAGCCTTCTTGTTGGTGGGGACTCTAGGCAGTGTAAGACATCACACGGTGAAGGGGCTGACCATGCTAGCTCAGGTCTTGTTGCTTTTTTTTTTCTGAGGCGGAGTTTCATTCTTGTTGCCCAGACTGAAGTGCAGTGGCTTGATCTGGGTTCACGGCAACCTCTGCTTCCCCAATTCAAGCGATTCTCCTGCCTCAGCCTCCTGAGTACCTGGGATTACAGGCACACGTCACCACGCCCAGCTAATTTTTGTATTTTTGGTAGAGATGGGGTTTCACCATGTTTTAAGTCTGGTCTTGAACTCCTGACTTCAGGTAATCCACCTGCCTCAGTCTCTGAAAGTGCTGGGATTCCAGGCGTGAGCCACCGAGCCTGGCCCAGCTAGCTCAGGTCTTAATTCTTCCTTTTGTAAAGCCGCTGATGACACTCCCATGACAGCCCATTAATCCACTCATGAAGGCTCTGCCCTCGTGATCCAATCACTGCTAAAGCCCCATCTCAATATTGCCACTTTGGAGATTAAGTTTCAAAATGAGTTTGTTTTGCAGGGGATAAACATTCAAACCATAGCAGGGTTCAAAAGCAGGTTCAAATAGTTCTAAACATTTGTTTTAATTAAAAAAAATTAAAAGTTAAAAAAAATTTTAAAAAGCCGGTTCAGCAACAGGCAAAGGAAGTCCTGGATGGACAAGAAGTGGGAAGCACAACCATCGCCTTTCAGCATGAAGGGTCTGGCTAGGGCCGCAGCACCGTCACTGTCCACCTCCACAGCGATGGGCAGTGTCCTGATTTGGGCTGTTCTCTCGCCTTTGCATCATATATCAAAGGGTGGATTGACCCTTAGAGAGAAGATAAGTCACATTCCAAAGACCTAGTTGCCAAAGTGTGAAGCGGGGAGGATCTCCCTGATACAACTCCCGGGCGGAGGAAGTACCCCGCATCCCACCACTCACACACTGGAGCGTCCTCCAGCCGGCTGGGCAGGCTACACCGGGGCAAGTCAGGGGCGGGCCATCCACCTGCTCCGGGCAAGTCCTGCACAGCGCTTGCCGCCAGCCTCTGCACCGGTAGTTTTGTGTTTTTTGGTTTTTTTTTTTTGAGGCAGAGTTTCGCTCTTGTTACCCAGGCTGGAGTGCAATGGCGCGATCTCGGCTCACCGCAACCTCCGTCTCCTGGGTTCAGGCAATTCTCCTGCCTCAGCCTCCTGAGTAGCTGGGATTACAGGCACGCGCCACCATGCCCAGCTAATTTTTTGTAGTTTTAGTAGAGAAGGGGTTTCACCATGTTGACCAGGATGGTCTCGATCTCTTGACCTCGTGATCCACCTGCCTCGGCCTCCCAAAGTGCTGGGATTACAGGCTTGAGCCACCGCGCCCGGCCTGTTTTGTTTTTTTAATCACTGCTCATTTCTTCTTTTTGACTTCTTGGACTAGCCATGAAGATTGCAGGCATTCTTGCCCTTTTAGTAGGAATGTTTCTAATGTTTCACCATGGAGTGTTAAGGTTTACTGAAGGCTTCTGGTAGCTAGATTATCTATTTGGTTTGAGAATTTTCCTTGAATTCCTAAGCTCAATAAGAGTTGTTTTGTTTGTTTGTTTTATTTTATTTTGTTTTGAGACAGAGTCCTGCTCTGTCACCCAGGCTGGAGGGCAGTGGCGCGATCTCGGCTCACTGCAACTTCTGCCTCCCTGGTTCAAGCCATTCTCCTGCCTCAGCCTCCTAGGTAGCTGGGATTACAGGCACCTGCCACCACGCCCAGCTAATTTTTGTATTTTTAGTAGACATGGGGTTTCACCATGTTGACCAGGCTGGTCTCAATCTCCTGACCTCAAGTGATCTGCCTGCCTCAGCCTCCCAAAATGCTGGGATTACAGACGTGAGCCACCAAGCCCAGCCACTAAGAGTTTTTGAAAACAGAAATCGGTATGTAGTTTATGAAGTGATTTAGGGTACAACATTTTCCTCCCTTAATGTGTTACAACGACAGAGAATGACCTTGACAAATGTTCTAATGTAGAACCAGTCCTGTATTTCTGAGATTAATTCGTTCAGCAATTCATTCATTCAACAAATATTTATTGAACGCTTATTGTGTACAAGTATGTTCTCAGCACTGAGGAGGAACAAAAGAGAATCAACAGAACAGCAATGAATAAAATAGGATCAAAATGCCTGTGCCATCCCACCCTGAACAGGCCCGATCTCTCCTGCTCTCAAAAGCTAAGCAGGGTCGGGCCTGGGGAGTATTTGGATGGGAGGACTAAAAGTGGCTACCTGCAGGAAGTACCCGTTCTAGTTGGGGGGCAACAGAATATTTTTGTTAAAAAAAAATGTATTCTGGAGAAAAATAAAACTTGGAAAGGGAATATGAAGATAAGTGTGTTTGCGTGATTTTTTTTTTTTTTTTTTTTGAGACTGATTCTCTCTCTGTCGCCCAGGCTGGAGTGCAGTGGTGCGATCTTGGCTCACTGCAACGTCTGCCTCTCAGGGTCAAGCAATTCTCCTGCCTCAGCCTCCCGAGTAGCTGGGATTACAGGTGCCTGCCACCACGCCCGGCTAATTTTTATATTTTTAGTAGAGATGGGGTTTCACCAAGTTGGCCAGGCTGGTCTGGATCTCTTGACCTTGTGATCCACCCATCTCGGCCTCCTGAAGTGCTGGGATTACAGGCATGAGCCACCATGCCTGGCCAAATTAATGATCTTTTTTGTTTTTTTGTTTTTTTGTTTTTTTTTTGAGACGAAGTTTTGCTCTTGTTACCAAGGCTGGAGTGCAATGGCGCGATCTCGGCTCACCACAACCTCCGCCTCCTGGGTTCAGGCAATTCTCCTGCCTCAGCCTCCTGAGTAGCTGGGATTACAGGCACGCGCCACCAGGCCCAGCTGATTTTTTGTAGTTTTAGTAGAGACGGGGTTTCACCGTGTTGACCAGGATGGTCTCGATCTCTTGACCTCGTGATCCACCCGCCTCGGCCTCCCAAAGTGCTGGGATTACAGGCGTGAGCCACTGCGCCCGGCCTTGTTTGTTTTTTAAGACAGAGTTTCGCTCTTGTTATCCAGGCCAGAGTGCTGGAGTACAATGGCACGACCTCAGCTCACGGCAACCTCTACCTCCTGGATTCAAGCGATTCTCCTGCCTCAGCCTCTCGGGTAGCTGGGTTTACAGGCATGTGCCACTACAAACGGCTAAGTTTTGTATTTTTAGTAGAGACTGGGTTTCGCCATATTGGCCAGGCTGGTCTCACACTCCTGACCTTGTGATCCACCCGCCTCAGTCTCCCAAAGTACTGGGATTACAGGCGTGAGCCACCGCACCTGGCCTGTTTGTGTGTTTTTTAAACATGATGGTTAGGAAGGAAGTGTAGGAGAGAGCCAGGTGACTTCCTGCAAAAGCATTCCCGGCAGAGAGGACAGCAAATACAAAGGCTCTGAAGAAGCAAAATCTGGGGTGTTCAGGAAATAGGACGGTTGCAGGGCTGGAGTGGAGGGAGCAAGGGGAAAGAAGTGGGAGGCGATCGTGGGCAGATCATGTAGGTCACTGGAAAGACTCTGGCTTTTAATCTGACAGATTAAAATGTGAACCATGACAGGGCTTTGAGCAGAGCAGGGACAGGATGTGACTTACACTTTAAAAGGATCCCTCTGATTGCTCTGTAGACTATGCTGAGGTGGAGTGAAAACAGAACCAAAGAGATCAGTGAGGAGAAGGCTGCAATGATCCAGGTGACAGAGGAAGAGGGCCTGGACCAGGCAGCAGCAGCGGAGATGATGAGAGCTAACCGGACTTGAGGGTCGACTGGATATGCAGAAAGATTAGATATGGTGTGTAAAAGAAAAGAGTCAAGAATTGGCTGAGTGCGGTGGTTCATACCTGTCATCCCAGCACTTTGGGAGGCCGAGGCGGGTGGATCATGAGGTCAGGAAATCGAGACCATCCTGGCTCACATGGTCAAACCCCATCTCTACTAAAAATACAAGAAAATGAGCCAGGTGTGGTGGCACGTGCCTGTCATCCCAGCTACTCGGGAGGATAGGCAGGAGAATCACTTTAACCCGGGAGGCAGAGGTTACAGTGAGCCGAGATCTCGCCACTGCACTCCAGCCTGGGTGGCAGAGTGAGACTCCATCTCAAAAAAAAAAAGAATGACTGCAAAGTTTTTGCCTCCAGGTTAGATTTGATATTAACTAAGATGGTGGAGACTGTAGGAAAGCAAGTTTAAGGAGAAAAGTAGGAATTGACTTTTGAGCATATCACCCATTTGAGATGCTATTTATGAGTTGGTTATATGAGTGTGGAGTTGGGAGGAGAACACCTGCCCAGCAAGAGATAGAAATATGGAGCCATCAGTCTACAGATGGCATTTAAAGCCACGAGACAGGAGGAGTTTATGAGGGGAGTGAGTGTAGGTAGAGAGGCCGTCTAAAGCCTGTCCTCCGGGGCACTTTGAGGTCAAGAGGTTAGGAGGATGAGGAAGAGCCAGCAAAGGAGACTGAGGCTGTAGAGCCTGAAGCAGCGACAGACTCACAGGAATGTGCCGAGAAAAGTTTTGTATTTTGTTTTTTTTTTTGGAGACAGGTTCTCACTCGGTCACTCAGGCTGGAGTGCAGTGGTACAATCATGGCTCACTGCAGCTGAGGCAGGAGGATCACTCGAGCCTCAAGTGATCCTCCTGCCTCAACCTCCTGAGTAGCCGGAACTACAGGTGCTGCCATCACACTGGCTACTCGTCAGTTTTCGCAGAGGTAGGGTCTTGCCATGTTGACCAGGCTGATGTTGAATTTCTGGGCTCTCGTGATTCTCCAACCTTGGCCTCCCAAAGTGTTGGGATTACAGATGTGAGCTATCACGCCTGGCTGAGAAAAGTCCTTTTTTTTTTTTTTTATTTTAAGACAAAGTCTCGCTCTTATTGCTTATGGTGGAGTGCAATGGCATGATCTCAGCTCACCACAACCTCCGCCTCCTGGGCTCGAGCAATTCTCCTGCCCCAGCCTCCCGAGAAGCTGGGATTATAGGCATGCACCTTCACGCCTGGCTAATTTTGTATCTTTTAGTAGAGATGGAGTTTCCCTGTGTTGGTCAGGCTGGTCTCGAATTCCTGACCTCAGGTGATCCACCCCTCTCAGCCTCCCAAATGCTGGGATTACAGGCATGAGCCACCACACCCGGCTGAGAAAAGTATTATTATTATTATTATTTTTTTTTTTTTTTTTTTT